ACAAAAATAATACAGCACTCTACTGTGCGTCAGATCTCTAGTTGTGCTTATTTATTGAAATTATTAATTTAAAAAAATATGGTAATAAAGATGTGTAGTATATATTGAGCTAAGAGTCAGCTCCAACCTATATTTTGAGTTGAACAACTTGGCAATGTTGCTCATAATGTTATTTTCAGGGTTTACCCAAAACAGCTACAACTCCAGCGTTTCCCAACATAAAATAATCTTAGTCTTAACCTGTCATAAAGAGGGTGGACAATATGCATTCCTTCAAGAAATGCTAGGCCTTTAATTAGTAATGAAACTGAACATGATTCACAAAATTATATAAAAAAATATGATCCTTACAAGATAATAGTCTTAGAAAATATTATTTAGCTACAGAAAAAAAAAAAAAAAACCTGTTCCCCTGTGTTTATATGGTTGGGCCTCAACTGACACATTAAAAATGCACCCCACATCAAAAGACATTTGCACAGCCCAGTAGGTACACTGGAATCAGCGCAGCAGTAATCAATCCCTGCCACTAGCTTCTTTTTTGCAAAATCACAAAAATGTTACCCACTGTTTAGTGCTTGGACAGTTACTTTTTTATTATGCATTACTCATTTTGATCTTTTGATATAAGAATCCCATGCCCCATCTTGGCCTTAGTTAAAAAAATGTATGTAAATGTGGAAATGATTCTGATAAACCCTTGGATGTCAGAAGTCTTTGATCCATAAACAACAGCATGTGCATTTTCCCTGATGATGCTCTTCATGCTTTCGCTGCAGCAAGATTTCTCCTGTTATCATTGGCTTCAGTACATGAACTACAGTTCAGTCAGAAAAATCTGATTAACAACTCACTCAGGGTTATTTGGTATCATCAAATAAAGCTCCTTTTGGTTGAGATTTGTGGTAAAGTTTGGGCCAGGAGATAAGCCTACAATGCTTAGTTTAGCTCAAGATGAGCAATTAGACATGCAGACATGTTCCTGTTTTTAGTTTTCTACATTTGTCTTGGAATCTAGCTGTTTTTTGTTTTGTTACCTTTTCCTTTTAGCTATCCTATTTGTAAAAAAAAAAAAAAAAAAAAAAACTGTAGTATGCTTTTTTATAACTGTTTTGTTGTTGCTGTTGTCCGTTGTTGTCATCTTTCTTTATTGAAATCAGGTCTCTCTTGTAAATGAGTCCTTGAGGCTCAATGGGATTTACCTGTATAAATAAAGGTTGATTTAATTATTATATTTCTTTTTTTTTTTTGTATATCTTGTGTTGTTTTGTGGCTTAAGTCCATGAATGCCTGAGTAAAGATCAAAGTTCATGCTCAATAATCCAGGTAGACAATCCAACAAAGCTCAGTCAGGTCATCTGGACGGTTTCTTTTCTTTTTTTTTTTTTTTTTTTTGTTGAGACGTTTTGTCCTTCATCCACAGGACTTCATCAGTCAAAGGAGCCACGACAAATTGAGTCCCACAAGCAGCACACCCACATAGTGGACCAACCAATTTGCTGGTGATAAGATGGTTTCTGGGGCCTGCTCTCTCCCTCATCGACTCCTCTAAGGCAACAATATCAAAAGTTGTTCAAAACATCAAAGTTCATGCTCAGTAATCCAGGTAAAAAATCCAACTAAGTTCAGTCAGGTCATCTGGATGTTTTTTTTTGTTGTTTTTTTTTTTGACGTGTCATCCTTCATACTAAGGACTTCATCAGTCTGGGGAGCCACAACAAACTGGAACTCAAGTTTGCTATGGTTCATTGTACTGATGAAGTCATTTGGATGAAGGATGAAACGTCTAAAAAAAAAAAAAAAAAAAAAAAAAAATCGCCATATGACCTGACTGAACTTTGTTGGGCCTGAGTAAATATTTACCTAGAAACCATGCATGACAGATTTTAATGAAACTGTCAGAAAAATAACCACTGGACGTACACAAGTCAGTCAGTTTCACAGATATTAAGCTAATTTTGGAGTGGCAGTAACTGAGTGATTCTACACACATTGTATGCACAATAGCATATTTATGACAAATTCAAAAAGCGTTCAATGCAAAAATATTTATGACGATATGCAATATATATATATATATATATATATATATATATATATATATATATATATATATAT